CTAGAAGGGAACCTTAGAGCTCACTGAGTACAGACCACTCCCTTTAAATCCCCAGATTTTACAGCTGAGGAAATTGAGTAGAGCTGAAGTGACTTTACCAGAGTCACATAGCTAGTAAGTGTTCAAAGTGGAATTTGAACTCCTGTCTTCCTGACTTCCCGGTTTAGCATTCTTTCCAGTATGCCATTCCTATATCCTTGTCCAAAGGAGGGTAATTGCTGGTTCTTTAAGATAGCCTAGAGAGGGGGCAGCTAGGTGGCGCAGTGGATAGAGCATGGGCCCTGGAGTCAGGAGGACTTGAGTTCAAATGTGACCTCAGATATTTGACACTTACTAGCTGTGTGACCCTGGGCAAGTCACTTAACCCCATTGCCTAGAAAAAGAGAGAAAGAGAGAGAGAGAGAAATAGTCTGCATAGGTTCTATCCTTCTCAGACCTGATATAGCCAGGGGAAACAAAGCAGTTTCTTTGGAATGAGCCTTAGAGCTTCATCAGGTGGACACTGGCACAGGAGTTGTGCTTTGTGTTGGCAGGAGCCAAGAGGCTGAGCCCATGCAATGAGGACCGTCATCGTCTGCTTATACATCATCGCCCTTTATTGCAGAGCTCTGTGTCCTCCAGCTGCTGAAAAAAAAAAAGTCTATTTGTGTTTGAAAGGAGGCTTTGAAATCAGCCAGAGAATGTTCTGTGGGTACCTGGAGCCACAGGGGCGCTCAGAAGGAAGAAGAAAAGCTCCCACTCTTCCTGACTAACCAGCTTGGAGTTGCTGCCCCTTTCTCATTTCTCTAAGCTCCATTTGGGGCCTGAAAATACAAATTCACGTGTCCTGTTTTCAGACATAAAAAAGATTTCTTGAAGTAGTTCCCTGGAGAGAAAGCCTGTTTGATTCACTTCTGCGTTTTAGCTCCATCTGAGAGGTAGCAGTGTTGTAGGAAGGGGCCTGGTCTTAGAGGCCCCAGAATCTTGGTTCTGGCAGGTCCTAGATATGTGTGAACCTAGTTAGGTGATTTAGCTTATCTGAGCCTCAGTCCCAGTCTCCTCTCCTGTAAAGTAAGTATAATTATATGATGCTAGCAATGCCTTCATCACCAGTTTGTTGTGGCAAAAGTACTTTGGAAACCTGAAAGTACATTAAAATTGTAATAATTATTATTATCATCTGACAGAGGCCCACCACTGAAATGGCCTAAGATTAAACCGCCTTGGCTTTTAAAAAAAAATCTGATTTCTTTCCCATGCATTTCACCACTTGAAATGTCCATACTATAATTTAATTTCTATTGCCTACCCATTCTTGAGCCTCTTAGGATCATAGATAAAGAGCTAGAAGGGGCCTTAAGAGACCATCTAATCCAATGCTGTCCTTTGAAAAGATGAAATTGAGGCCCCAGAAAAGTTAACAGCCTGTGTCTGCGAGTGCTGGCAGGGGTGTAGTAAGTAGTAGAGCTGGGATCGGAACCCTGGTTCTCAGATTCCAAGGCCATCCATCCATTTATCCAAATTCACCATATGGAATGTCTCCCAACATGGCAGCGCCTATCCTGCCTCCTTCAGCCATCTTTTGTGAGGGTCCAAAGATGTCTCCTGTATATGGATCTTAACCAGCCCAGACAGAGCCCAGCAGCTTTTAGCATTCTAATTTGTAGTAGTATTCTGGTTTTTGCTTCAATGTAGATCATTTACATTATAGTACTAGACTTTAACCCTCCTTCTACATTGCCTTCTTATCCCAAGACTTGCAAATATCTTAAGCCCAAATAGCCCCAGTAATCACATAATTAGGAGTTAAGTAATTAAGTAATTAAAAAAAGCATTCTCAGTCCAGAATGGCTGATCAGTTGGGGTTCTCAATCCACAAGTACTGATGAGGTGATTCTGCAGGAAAGTGCATGGGATATACAAGCAAACCAAAGAAACTGTCTGCAGGCCTTCTCTGGCCATAGATGAGGTAGGACCCAGGCTCCTGCCACTTGGTAGCTCAGATCCCTCTCTTTGTTATGGTAAAAGCCTGACTACAACCACGTGCCAAAACCTGCCTCTATCAGAAACCCATTCATTTGCTAGGCTTGAAATCCTGACGTCCCAGAGAAACCCTCCAGAGTCTGCTGAGATGGATTTGGGTCCGCAGAGGAGATGGAGGCGACTTTAGCAATTGAACTTGTAAAGCCTAATGAAGCACAGGCTGATGCCCTCATGTGAGGGCTTAGGGCTTCTGCACCTGCTATCATGTTGGGAAGGGTCCCCAGGATGAGATCACCCGACAGACGACAGCTGAGCTCTTTGTTCTGGTTTCTCACCTCCCCAGGCAAAGTCTACTGGGCTTGGAAACACCTCCTTAGGTGTATATCACACTTTGCAGAACAAATAAAGACCTGGCTGCCTTTCCTGGCAAGCTGAAGCCCTTGCTTCAAACAAGTACATAGTGAAACTATGGCCCAGTGGCATTCGTAGTTGGTGGTATTCAGAATTTGCGGCTAAATGCGAGTGAAAGGTTTTCTAAAAGGATTTTAGGGAGAAGGACCAAAGGTTCATTCAGCCAGTTTACTTTTCCAGCCTCTTCTCATCTTTTTAAGGTATCCCTGTCCTTCCAGATATGAAATTGATAATCTGTATTAATTGGTCAGCCAGCATTGATTAAGTACCTGGCACAATGCTAGGGCCTGGGAGGGGGGGGAGGGGGGAGTACAGAGCCAAAGCGAGACTGTCCTTGTCCTCAAAGAGCTTACATTCTATAGAAGAGACAGCACATACATATTTAATAAATAATGTACAGAATGAACAGGATAAGGATAGGGACCAGAGCTGTGATTTCAACAATGTAAGAAGCTCCTCGATGGAGAAATTCCCACCACCAGCGTGGGTCAATAGCTTCTCTGTGCTTTAGAGTCTTAGAGAGCTGCCATACTGAGAGGTGGTCTGCCCTGAACCCTGGTCTTCCTGATTTGGAGTCCAGCTTTCCATCCAGTGTCAGGCTGCCTCTCAAAATAAAGACGAAGGAGGGAGAAGGCATTGGCATATGGGGAGATCCCGAAAGGCATAGTTGAGCTGAACTCTGAAGGAAACAAGCGATTCTAAGAATCAAAAGGAAGGGGGAGAACATTCTAGGCTGGGGACAAAGAGTGGAGTTTGGAGTGTGAGGAACCGTGGGAGAATCTATAAGGAAGCTGGAAGGGCTGGTTGGGTCCAGGGCTTGTTGAAGGGTTTTGAATGCCAAACAGAGGCGTTTGTGTTTGCTCCTAGAGGCCATAGTGACACACAGAGTGAGAGCCATTCCTACACAGCCCTTCCAAGTTTGCAGAGGTCATGCCGTAACTTAGCTTCATACCAACCCTTAGAGGTAACTCCTATAGTTTTCCCCATTTAACAGCTAGGCTGAGAAAGGTTAAGTGACTTGTCCAGAGCCACATAGTTAGTGTGAGTCAGAGGCAGAACTGAAAGCCAGGCCCAGCAGCCACCCTATCCACCAGCTGTCCAGAGCAGGGCCTTGGAGTCCAAAGGCTTGGGTTGGAGGCCTGCCAATGATTCCTATAAAATGGGAGTAATAATCTTGGTGCTTACCAACTGCTTGAGATTCCTGCAAGGAAAACACTTTGTAAACAAGTATGAGAGGACTGTAGGGCACTGTTTTTACAATTGTTCTTCATGGTAATAGCTAATATTTCTAAAGTGCTTTTAATATACTCCCTGTAGTCTATCTCATTTCAGTCTTACATTAACTCTTTCTGACAGGTGGAATGAATTTTATTTTCCTCATTTTGTAGATAATCAGTAAACATTTATTAAGCGCCTACTGTGTGCCAGGCACGGTGCTAATAAGTGCTGGGAATACAAAAGAAGGCAAAAGACAGGCCTGCCCTCCAGGAGCTTCCCATCTAATTTACATCATCTGGTGAGATTAGGCAAGTAGAGTTGAAGTGATCTGCCCAAGGTCTCACAAGCTAATGAGTGTCAAAACAGAGACTCAGGTCAAGACGTTCCAGCTCCAAATTCAATATTCTTCCTGTTGCCCACTAAGAACTTCACAAGACGTGTTCCTGCTTCAGGCTGAGGAGAACTTAGGATCATAAATTTAGAGAGGGAAAGGGTATCTGAGGTCTAGTCCAACCCTTTTATTTTGCAGATAAGGAAACTGAGGCCCAAAGAGGGGAAGGAGACTTGCCTGAGACCACATAGGTATTAAGTAGCCAAGCCAGGGTTTGAACCCAGGTCCTCCAAATCCACATCTAGCTTCAGGCTAAGAATGATATTTATTTTTAAGAGCACCTGTCATCATAATGACCACCCATGATTCCAAAAAGACTGATAATGAAGCCTATTACCTGCATCCTGAAAAGGAAGTGATGGACTCAGAATAAGACGTATGTTTTGGACATGGCCAATGTGAAATTTTGTTTTGCCTGACTATGTATATTTGTTACAAGGTGCTTTTTGTTTGTTTGTTGTTTCTCAGAAGGGAAAAGCAGAGAAAACAGAATTTTGTTAATTGAAACAAAATTTTTTTAAAAGAATGATACTTAATTTTACCCACTGGGGGCATGATAAATATTCAGCTACATTCAGAGATTTGTTAGAACTCTTAGCATGACATGTCCCTTCAGCAGTTTCTGACTTACACCTTTTGAAGGAGTGATATTAGGGTGCGCACTTAATTGCTCTAATCTTAATGCTCGGCACCCCCCAGTCCTCAGCAATGAGAGTGCCTAGGGTAGAGGCCCATGCTTCTAGTCCTTTCTGCTGCAGAGGCTGAGGCTGGTAGGCAGCTTCTGCATTAGGGCTAATGCCAACTGAATCAGGTGTGTGTGCTAAGTCTGGCACCAATGCTGTGAATCCCCAGAACCTCCGAGGAGGGATGAACAGGCCCAGGTTGGAAAAAGGGAGCAAATCAGAGCTGGCTTGGTTGTCAGCATTGAGGTCAGCCCTGAGGGAGACCTCATGTGCTTCTAGCCTGGGTGAGGTAGAGAGCCCCAGACTCCAAAAACAAAACAAACTTTGTCTTTCAGTGCTGGCCTACATGCAGCTCCTCGAGGACTACTCAGAGCCCCAGCCTTCCATGTTCTACCAGACGCCCCAGAATGAGCACATCTACCAGCAGAAAAACAAACTCCTCATGGAGGTCTACGGCTTTAATGACTCCTTCACCCAGGAGCTGGCCCCGCCCCCTGCTCTGCCCCCCAAGCAGAGGCAGCTGGTAAGTGGCACCCCCCTGGACCCTGCCCAGTCCCGGCCTGACAGCCTCGGGAGTTCCTTGAGGGAAATGACTCTGTCCTCACTCTCATTCTCAAGCAGGAATTTCAAATCTGAACCATGAGCTAGGACAATGCTTGCACACCATTTACTGGGTCAGCCCTGTCCTCTTACGGTTCAAAGCTCTAGAAATGCACCTGTGTCATTCAGATCTTTTCTGTCTCCCTGATGTCTGATTTGCTCTTTAGGTTCACTAACAGTCTGCTGGGCTCCCAGCTGTCCTGCTGATAGTTTTATCCGGTGCTGTGATGGGGTTTGTGCTGCTATGTGCTCTTCTCTGCTGATGCTCACTTTCCCTCTTCTTCCTCTCTTCTGGTTCAGAAATTAACCCTCCCAGGAAGGAAGAACTTAATCAGGGCATAGGGAATGGTTGGTATACAACTCAGAACTAGGGTGTCTACTTAGTGGGGCCTAATCCCTCCTGCTCCCTACACACAATGCAGAGATCTGAGGGTCACATGGAGGTAAAAGACTTTCTAAACTATCAGGTGCTATAGATTTCTACACTTGGAAAGGGTGAGAAAGCAGCGTCTCTCTAGATTCTAGCCCTGGCCATAAGATGGCCTAGTTAAAACCCAACATTGAAAGAAGAGCATGACTTTCATCCACAGGTTTTTGGCCTATTTTTGCACTATGGAGCACTTTGGCATTCTGGTGAGCCCTATGACTTCTTTCTCAAAATAATTTTCTTAATGCATAAAATACATAAAATTAAAAAGAAAACCAATTGTATTGAAATAGTTATCAAATTTTTTTAAGACAAGTTCATAGATCCCAGATTAAGAGCTTCTACTTTAGACAGATCCATCCTGCATTTTAGGTGTCCTATGTTTGTTTCTCCTTTTAATTAATCATAGAACCCTAGATTTAAAACCAGAAGGGACTTTAAAGGCCATCTAATCCAACCGTTTCATTTTTTTTTTAATTAGGCAATTGGGGTTAAGTGATGTACCCAGGGTCACACAGCTAGTAAGTGACAAGTGTTTGGTTTGAGGCCAGATTTGAACTCAGGTCCTCCTGACTTCCGCTGTGCCACCTAGCTGCCCCCAACCCTTTCATTTTACCAGTAAGGAAACTAAGGCATAGAACCATGAAGTGACTTATCAGCATCCCACTGAAGTTTGACATCTGAGGCAGGATTAAACCCAAGCATTCTACATCTGTGTTTCTGTCCATGACAACTCACTATTTCAAAATCCTCCTATTTGAAGGATGTTCTTTACTTTTATTGAACAAAAAAAAGTCACCATCAAAGACAACCATACTCAGGGGCATCCGCCCACCCACAGTGGTCTGGAATGGCCTGGAGGGCTCTGCAGGTGGCATCCTCCCTGAAGCCCTTCTGTGCTCCTGTGGATTGCTCACGTGGACCTTTTTTTAGAATTCAAACCTATCCTTCAGCCATCTTCCCTCCTCTAGTGGGGAAAAAAAACAAGAACAACCAGGCCCCCAGAAGGGAATTCCAGACCCTTTCAGCCTCAGATGTGATGTTTTGCTTCTCAGCCACCCCATCTGGCACCTCTTTAACAAGAAGAAGTAAAAGGTCCCAGCATGTTGGGCGATTTTTCTTTTCTTTATTTACCCATTACAAGAGGCTGCCAAGGTATAGCCCTTGCTTTTCCTAGAAGCAGAGGCCACTGGAGCATAAATTCCATTTTTGTGTCTGCATTTTGTGTCAGGAGCAGGGCTGATGTCATCATTCATCAAAAGCCCATTCCTGATTTGTGGAGCATTTTCTCTAGCTCCTGCTTCCATTAAGTCCATAAGAATATCTGCATTGGTGTTTTGATGACCCTGGCTAAACTGAATCTTTCAGTTTAATAAAAAGAAACAGCCATTTCTAAAAATGTCTTTGTGAATAGGTTTTTAAAAAATACCATTGCCACTTGCCAGTGACTGCCTCTTGCCCTATAAAACCTTCCCTTGGTGACACACAACAGCGTATTGGCCAGCTCTGACAATGTGCGTCCATTCTGCAGCTAGAGTCCAGCAGCAGTCTGAACAGGGAAGTCTTAGTCTGATTCTCTGTGGCAGCCTCGTCTGGGGTAGAGAGCTCAAGTGAATGTCCGGTGACCTGAAGTCTTGTTCTGGCTCTGCCCCTCACCGCTTGAGTGACTTTGGGCAAGCAAATTCCCTTCTCTAGGCATGCAGTTCTCACCTGCAGAATGGAAATAATACCTGCCCACCCCACTGCCAGACAGTTACTGAAATAATGATGACATGACAAATAGAAAGCTGCTTTCAAAAAAAATATGAGCAGTGGGAGTGGAGGGGCATGCATACAGAGGATTACATTACAGCCATTATGCCCCAGGGAACCGCTAAACATGAGTTTGCCCAGAAGACTGTAGAAACCCTGCCACTCTGTGAGATCTCGATTAGAATCAAAATGCTTATTTTCTCCTAAAGCGGAAGGGGAATTCTTATATGCAGACATGGCAAATACCCACGGACTGCTGCTCGGGTATCTACTCCAGACTGTAACTTCTCACAGGCTCCTAGGTTTCCCAAACAGGGGTCCAAAGACTCAGCAGGGGAAGGAAGCCTTGTTACGGGCACTTGGGCCAGAGCTCTGTGATTCGTGGGCCCAGTGGAGGGAAGGTTCCAAGATGGGCATCCAGCAGGTCCCAATGTACGTTTCCTTTATTTTATGAAAAAGTGTTTCCAGCACTCAGTGTAGGGTGCCCAGTGTAGTTAATCTGCAGCAGGCATTGTGAATCAGCAAACTAACCCAAGGAAGCAGCGCTCCGTCTCCAGAGGGCCTCAGAATTTAGTTTGTTTTGCCTGTCCACTTCTCCTTTATTCACACTCTGTTGTTCTGCTTTTTTTTTTTATCCTTCCTCCCTTTTTGCCCTCTTGTTTCTGTCCAGCAGGCCTCCTATGCTGCCTCTTCCTTCTCCTCTGTCTCCTACTGTGTCCAGCCAACTAAAGTGCCCTTCACGCCTGAGGACACCAGTGCCACTCAGGGCCTCGGTATGTCCATCTCTAACTCCTTTCTCAGCCGGCACAGCTCCTTCCCTGTGCACTCGGTGAGTCTGTTCTTCCAGTTTCTTTACCTCCTGAATGTGGTGTTTCTGTGTTGGTACCTCTGCTCGTTCTCCAGAGGGACTCTGTCTGCACTCTGTCACTCCCAAGAGGATCCGTGCTGTCAGGGATCCATTTAGCAACAACACACCTGATGAGAACAACCCCAGCTCTGTCTTTCAGCAGGTAGTCTAGAAACAGGCAGGAAAGGAGCATGGGTTGTATCTCCCAGGCCTTGGGTGGATTAGAAGGTTTATCTTGGAGGGGGAAGATGGGAAGAATCTGGCTGTAAGACTCCCAGGCAGATGCTTCACCATCTGATTCTCCAGTCTGCCTGTCACCTGCAGTGGTACCATGGTGTATAGTGGGAGGCATTCTGGCTCGGTTGCTTTACAAAGATGATCTTGAACACTCCCCTTGTAAAAGGTCTTGGTGTTGATGCTGTCCATCCCATTTCTCCTTGCCTCAGTTCTGTAGCTTTCCTCTCTTGAAGCATAAAAAGATGCTGGCTGTCTGTGGAACAGCATAGGTAGTCAGCAGCAGAGAGAACAAATTTTCTGAGTTTGCCCCAATGTCTGGAGTAAGGGGTTAGTAGGATGACAATGAAACAGAAGTTGACGTGTTTTGTAGGACCCGTGAGTGCTGGATTTGAAGTCAGAACACTCGGGTCCAAATCCGGTGGGCTCTTGAGGTAGTGAGTCCCCCTTCCAGCAGACTGCTTTTTGGATATGTTATAACGGTGATTCCTTGTGTGAGTTGAGCTGCATGGCCGTTGAGGTCCCTTTCAACCCTCAAATCCGATGCTTCTGTGAAAATCCTTCCTTTGCCACCTGTGACCACTATGACATATTTGTCATTGGGTCTCTCTTGACTTGTGGTCCCTCTTCTGTCAAATGAAAGGTTTGGACTAAGTGCAGTCTTAAGTCCCTTCCTACTCGAATCTGTGATCACATGACCTGTGTTCTGGTCCTGTGACCTTGGGGCCAGTCATTCATCTCCCTAAATTTTCTCATCTGTAAAATGGGAAGAATGATATCTATACTACTGATCTCATAGACTTGTTGTGCAGGTCATAAGATAAAAATAAATTTAAAGTATTTTGTAAACTATAAGTAATGATTGACATTTATATAACACTTTAAATTTTGTAAAGCATTGTTACATATTTGATCTTATTTTTAGTACTACAGGCATCTTGCTGAGGTATGTACCCCCTCTTACAAATGAGAAAGGTAAAGTTCAAAAAGGTTAAGTGATCACAGAGCTATTTAGTATCAAAGGCAGAATTTCAATACATTTTCCTGGAGCCTGGTCCAATACTGTCTTACCATCCTGCAATACCTAAGTAATTAGTTGTTGATTTTGAAATAGAGATAATCCCTGCCTATTTCACATGACTGTTGTAAGAATGAAAAGGGAATATACAAGAAAACTACATCTAGAAGGCATTCTGCTATTTTACTTCTGTGTAAGAAAATCTGAAACCATCCCATTACTTGCCCAAAAGACACAAGTAAAACCTATCTGCTTCCTTTAGTCCAAGGGTTCTTAACCTCAGGGTAGGGGCAACCAGTCTGTGAACTTGGTTGGTTTTTTAAAATACCTTTGATAACTTTATTTAAATATAACTGGTTTCCTTTGTAATCTCATGTATTTTATTTTATGCATTTAAAAATGTTATTTTGAGAAAGAGTCCATAGCTATCATCAGACTGCCAAAGGATTCCAGCACACAAAAAAAGTTAAGAACTCCTGATTTAGTATCTTAAAAGAGTCATCAGGACCCCTGTTTTTTTTTTTGTTTGTTTTATGAGGCATTTGGGATTAAGTGACTTGCCCAGAGTCACACAGCTAGCAAGTGTTATGTGTCTGAGGCCAGATTTGAACTCAGTTCTTCCTGCCTCCAGGGCCAGTGCTCTATCTACTGTGCCACCTGGCTGCCCCTTTGATTTTTTTTGTCTGGGTTTTGCTGCTAACTTGCTTTGTGTCCCTGAGCAAATCCTTGACCTCTACGTCTCAACTGCTGCCTAATTTTCTTTGTGATCACTGTGACCTCTAGGGAATTCAATTCAGTTAATTCATCCAGGACTTAATAAGCACCTAGTGTGTATCCACAAAGTGGACTAGGCACAGGGAAGAAAAAGCTCAAAACAAAACTATCACTATGCTCATGGAGCTTATGTTCTGTTATAAGTCACACAAAAATTCTCATCATCCTTAAGAACAAGGAGTGTTGGATCAGGAGTCAAGAACACTTGAAATTAGATCCTGCCTTGTTGGGATAGCAAATCTGAAAGTGCTGGAGGGCCCACACAGCAGAAGGCCAGTATCCATCTCCCCCCCACTCTCTTGTCTAGGCAGGCATCCCCCAGCAGTCATTCCATACGTACCACATGTCCTTCTCACACTTCTGGCTGTTGACTGTGCTCTTTATCCAAGCGCGGAAATTAAGTCAGGATTGTCCTGAGGCAATTTCTGCAGTAACCCTTGGAAGCCATTTAGGTTGTGATCGCAAGTGAGTGGGACATTTTTCTTTAGAAACAAAAGAAATATCAGGGGAAAGAGATGACAGAAAGAATCACTTGGTGTATATAAACAAATCATAGGGTCTATGGGGCACTGATGTAGTTTGGAGACATTTTGTATTTGAAAGAAAATGTTCTAATTAGCCCATAATAGTTTATTAAGTGCTTACCCTGTACTAAGCACTAGGGATACAAAGAAAGGCAATAGTCCCTGCCCTCAAGGAGCTTCTATTCCAATGAGAGACACCATGTATATAAAAAAGTGCAAGAGGAGATGGAAAGTAGCCTTATAGGAGAAGACTGTTAAGATCCCAGGGGCTTGGCCAAACAAAAGTGCTTTATTAAAAGGAGACTGCAGCTGGGGCCCAAAACGGCATCTTGTAATGTTTTAGATACTTAGAATATTTGACAGCTGACACAATGAAATGCAGAAAGGTGGTTTGTTCTAACAGGGTACCCTTGCGTTAGTCATCTTTCTGACCTTAGTATCTAAGAGATGAGACACAGCCAGGCTAGCAGGGTTTGGAGTGCTGCCAGGGAACATCCTTTAACCCTGGACAGACCACTCTTGTATTCTGTCCGGCGTTGGTGGGCCACAGACTCATCACCGCACAGGGAGCCGGGGGAAACACAGCAAAGGGTAAGAAGACTTTAAAGACATTCAAAGTATCTCTAGTCACCCTACCCTAGCCCCTTCTCCACAAAAAGTTTATTGCCCAAAAAAGCCCACGTAAGCGAATTTGTAGGATGTACTATATGATTAAGCTATAGGCTGGTTTTAAAGGAGATTTAGATTTTGGATCTAAATATTGTTCCCATACACATCTACCAGATAGAAAGGAATTAGTGCTAATTATTAAATTAAGTTATTTGCTCAGCTCTGCGTTGCATTGTGCTAGCTGCTGGTTAAGATCCAATGATAGCTAAAGTCCTCTATTAATTAACATGGGGATCTTAATCTTAATTTGCAAAATTCAAAAGTGCAAAACCTTCCTTCAATCTGTGCTGGAGCAATAAAGCAACTGCAGAAGTCAGATCGGTCGTGACGGCAGATTGCTGACAGAGCATGAATCTCTCTCCCCCTTGTCCTTGCCTTGTTCAGTGGCAACCTCACCTACCTCAAGAAGCAACCTGAAGCTCGGATAACACCTGTAGAGGGCAGCCCCGTTCCCAAGCCAGGCTGAAGTTGAGGAGTAGCTGGGATCCCTAGTGGCTGCCTCTTGCTGGGACTTCAGGCTGTGGAATTCTACCCCTTTTATCTCTAGAGAGCCTTTGAAGGCATTACCCTCTTGTTGAATGGCTTGGCAGCTGGACAGCCCAGTGGATAGAATGCAGGAGGTAAAGTCAGGAAGACTGAATTCATATCCTGCCTCAGATACTTACCAAGTCCCTCTCTGCCTCAGTTTCCTCATCTTTAAAATGGGGATAATTATTATAACACCAACATCCTAAATCATAAATCCATAAATCATAAAATAAAAATGAAATAATATATGTAAAGCACTTTACAAACCTTAAAGTTCTATATGAATGTTTACTGTCGTTGTTGTTGTTATGATGATGATGATGATGATGATAGGATTATGATAACAGCCTCTTTTCCATAGTAGGCACATACCATTTGTTCCCTTTAGGGAGAGCTTTCATCTTTCTTTATTAGGGTTAGGTCTTTAGAAGGCTTTTGGGTTTTTTACTGTTTATATTTTTTAAAATTGAGGCAGCTAGGTGGTACAGTGGATAAAGCACTGGGCCTGGAGTCAGGAAGACTCATCTTCCTGAATTCAAAAATATGGCCTCAGGCACTTACCCTGGGCAAGTCACTTAACCCTGTTTGCTTCAGTTTCCTCATCTGTAAAATGAGCTGGAGAAGAATATGGCAAACTTCTCTAGTATCTTGGCCAAGAAGACTCCAAGTGGGCTCATGAAGAATTGGACACAATTGAAAAATAACTGAACAACATTTTTTTAAAATTATGAAATGTTTATAGTGCCTTATAGTAACCTCCCCCAAGATTACCTTGTATTTGATTTGTGTGTGTGTATACACACACTCCCACACACATACACACTCTGACATACTCTTTCACACACATACACACTCACACACATGCTATGCACATACATACACACACACACACACACACACACACACACACACACCTTTTGTTTCATCCATTAGAAGAATGTAAGCTCATCGAAGGCAGCAGCTCTTCTGTATCTCCGGCACCCAGCACGATGCCTGGCCCACAGCAGGCAGCTAACGATTCCTTGGAAATTAATTGTAAGAGGGATATGGAGAAAAATTCCCATGCCCTGGAAAAACTTACACTCTTTTTGAGAAAGTAAGACCTAAATGGATGTGAAACTAAATACCTCCAGTGTGAATGGGACAACACAACAGGACAAGAAGGGTGTCGAAACTGATCCCTGTGGGCCTGATAAATGCTGCCAGTGTTCTAGAGGCGTTCTGGAAAGGGCAGC